CTATTTGGATACCCTTGACTGCCTTCTCTTGCCTGATTGTGATGGCTAAGACTTCTATTACTATGTTGAATAGCAGTGGAGACAGTGGGCATCCTTGCCTCATTCCTGATCTGAGTGGAAATATTTTCAGTTATACACCATTCAATATGATATTGGCTGTGGGTTTACTGTAGATGGCCTTTATCGGTTTAAGAAATGTCCCTTATATGCCTATTTTCTTAAGTGTTCTGATTATGAAAGAATGCTGGATATTTTCAAAGGCTTTTTTTGCATCAATTGAGGGAATCATATGGTCTTTGTTTTTTGTTTTATTGATGTGATGCATTATATTTATAGATTTGCATATGTTGAACCAACTCTGTAACCCTGGAATAAAACCAGCTTGTTCAGGATGTATAATTTTTTTGACGTGTTGTTGAATTCTGTTTGCTAAGATCTTACTGAATATTTTTCCATTAATAATCATTAATGATATTGGTCTGTAATTTTCTTTTATTGTTGGATCCTTTCCTGGTTTGGGGATCAGGTTGATATTTGCTTCATAGAATGTGTTGGGAAGTATTCCCATATATGATTTCTTATTAGGTTTCATTTTCCTTCATTTGATCCTCTGGCATTTAAAATTTTTAGTTGGTATCATATTCTCAGTATTCTGAAATAGAATTGTCAAAACTTGGTCACCAACTCAGAACTTGGGAAATTTTAAATTAACCACCATTGGTAAATTTTAATGTTTCAAGATTTTTTTAATGTGTTTTTATTGTTGCTGCCCAGTTCATCTTTTACCTGGAATTTTGTAATAACTTCTTAACTGTTCTTATGTCCTGTGGTTTCCTTTTTTGTTTCTTCTTTCTACTTTGCAGTTTCCTTTTTTTCTTAAAGAAAATACTGAGTAAAATCAATGATGGCAGCTATCCTTATCTTTCTCCTGACTTTACTGGCACTACTGTTACATTTCACCCGTTTAGTCTGATGTTTACTATAGACTTTATAGTGGGCAGTAATCTCAAGAAGCACTTGTCAGTGTTTATTTTCAACCTCCTTTCTTTGGAAAGGATGGAAAGGAAGCCCTTCTTCACTCCACTTCCACCTCTTAATATATCAAATCTGACTGGTTCTCCTCTTTTTCTTTGAAACCTACTACTAGTCTTATCTCCAGAGATGATTACTTTCCAGATAAATTAGATTTTTATTTATTAATCATACCTAAAATTTATCCACATCATTTTATCATTTGGTCTTAAAATACTACTTAGTCTTAAAAGAATCAATTAGTTTGCTTCAGTGAACCAAATGTCTTTTTAGGTTCATGCTATTACCATCATTTTTTTCTGCTTCATTAGACATTTTGTGATTATTAATAGAGTCTTTGAAAAATGTTAACAAGTAAGTTTGGGGAAGATCCAGTTCTGTGTTAATGGTATGCTGCTTTACTTCTGTCTGAACTTTTAAGTTATTTTCATTTTGGAGTGAGAATCTAGGGTTCATGATTGGGAAGCTAGATGTTTTCCATTGTACATTATCAGGGAAGGTGCGTCATTTGTGTGTGTATGTAGAATTTCTATTTTTTATACTGTTCTGAAAATGATGCTTTAATGTGGCAAGATGACATAAAATTGAAGTTGGTAGAAAAATAATAAAGCAATAGGAAAATACATTTAAAGAAGGAGAAAAAATAAAATGGCCGTATGAAGGAAGGAAGTCCTATACCATAGAAAGCATATCAGTGATGTGTTGTAAGAAAAAGTATATATGAAATGTGTTTGGAATTTAGACTACATGGGAGTACTTCCAAATTGGCAGCCAAAGAAGGTTTTACGGAGAAAATATCCTAAAGTCAAGTCTGTAAGGAATGTGAGTCTGGGAACAAAGGGCTTTCCCACTTTAGACTGGAGCAGAGGCATGGAAG